TTTTATTTCCACAAGGACGGAGTCAAGGGCGGAATTCAGTAATTAAAATAATATGCAGTTATACCATTAAATGATCGATTTTATAAAAAATGTAATAATTTTATTTTCATTTAAATACAAGTACAGCGAAGTAATCCACTTGAGTTGAAACATTCCGCAACAGAGGTTATTGAAGTTCCACTTAGAGCGAGTTACTCAGACATGCAGGTGCCCGTTTGTAAGCCAGTACTTAACAAATAACATTTAAAATTACGTAAATAATATCAGTTAAGTATCTAGCATATCAACTAGAAGAGACTCCTGTCTCTACTCTCGTAGGAGTAGCATAATATATGTTTGATATATTATATTTTTTTTTTGGTATATTATATTTAAATGATGGCCGCAAAATACTATGCTTTTATTCCTAGGTATTTTTTTAGTTACTTAACGTTGACATGAATATTGAAGTGTATACAGTAATGGTATTATTTCCTGGAGTATTGTAGTAAATAAATTTAACGTTTGTTTTTTTTTTCTATTAATTTTCTACGTTTGAAGGAACCTTATTTGTAATTCAGATAATAAAAAGTATAATATTTAACAGTTTATGTTAGTAATAGGTTCCTTTATATTTATGCTTTGATGATTTTTTTAGACTCGGCGTAGTTTACTTTAGTGCTATACTAAATTACAAGAGAAGTGCAAACGATCCTAGGTTAGAGCATAAATTGAAGCAATCATAACACTGTGGTTACCTCGCCACGTAAATTCAACTTGAGGGAGACCGCGGTGATATAAGGAATTCTATCAACGCTGAATTCATGCCTTCTCACATTTGGGCAAGTATTGTGTGTGTGGTTATACTGTTAGCGGATATCATTTAGCCTAGTTCATTTTTTATTAACTACAAAAAAGAGATTAGAGTTTAAACAATTACTTTAATACTTTGATAATTAAAAGAAACAAATATTGAATAATCATTCTTATGTGTCGAATAGTTAGCTAATTTTTGCCCTACTGGAGGGTAATCTTGTAGGTATAAAGTGTCACTCATTCGTATACTGTACCTTTTTTAGCATTACAATAATTCATAATTTAGTTAATTAACTAGTACTATTTTTCATTTAATTTCAGTTATTTAAAAATTTTAATTTTTATATCAATACAACTTAAGTAATGATCGCTTGTGCAAAAACGCTGATATTCACACCCTACGACAGTTTACTTTGAAGTGTGAATATGACATGACATGCCGACTCGGATGAAATAAGCTGTGCAATCTGAGGCGTCATTTGTTGTTACCTCGGGGTATAATAAAAATGTTCTCGACTAACATTCATAGCTTACACATTTTTAAAACATTATTTTGTTACTATACATTTTTAATATTAGACATAAGAAAACTACGATACAGCGGATACTAATCAATACTAATAATATAAAGAGGAAAATTTTGTATTTTTGTATGTATTAAAATAACTTAAAATACTTCTGGGCTGATTTTAAAAAATAAATCACCATTAAAAGCTACGTTATCAGTGACTAACATAGACAATTTTTTTAATTAAACTCGGACGAAGTTGCAAGCAATAGCTAGTGTAAAATATGATGAGAGAAAACTGAGCAAACATAGTGATAATATTAAAACAATCAATTTTACTATTGTTCAGTAACTGCAATAATTTAAAACTTAAGCGAATTTAAATTCTCCTGAGTAATTATAAAAGCGTTTTTAAATCAAAATCATGAAAATCCACATCCCCTGCTTACAAATAAGAAGTCTCCGATAACATCATATTTGTATTCAGCCCGCGTAATGTCTCTGACGTCCTTATTCTGGGTCGTATATCACGATATATGAACCCCGCCACCTTAATATTTGCGTCATTTTGACGTCACATGCATGGAACAAAACATTTCTCGTACTAATTTACTTTGTGATTTATGAAAAATAATTTAAAGATTACTTTTGCAAAACAAAGGAATTAGACATAAAATTCAACAAATACAGCAATTAATAGACAAAAGCGTAACGAGTTATATATAATAAATTTAGATGGCGCCAAAGGCATTTTAAATCGCACCATTGAGATGTATTTCAGAGGTCGTAAATCATGTCAAAGTAAATAAGATCCGTGTACCATTTTATATTTACTGTAATTCTGCATACATTAACTTACGCAATTTTATTGTAACACGATGAAAATAAAACAACCGTTAACAAAAAATAGATTCGATGTCGATATTGTTAGGTTTACAGAATAGGCGCTTACCATAATATCGGGTCGATGTTTCCCCGATACGGAAATTAGTATGGAAGGCCTGATGTTTGTAATAATAAACATCGTGAAAGAAAAATATGAAAGCTTCTAGTCGAGTTTTCCATTCGCCACTTTTTACACAGAAATGTCAGATTTGGCTCTTAATATTTCCCAGGAGACATTCGCCTAAGGAATAATTAGTTGAAAGGAATTTTTATTTATAAGTTATACCGTGAATTGGTGCTTTGCGTTTGAAGTAGAGGAATTTATTTTTTGGTAGCATTAAAATTTAACTTTTATGCTGCATTTAGATATAAACCAGAGATAAGTAAGTATTAAGTTTGTGTAACTCGCTTGATCTAGAGAAGTTAAGAGTGTCGAGAACAAATTAATTTCCAATATCTGCCTACCCTTTTGAGCTTGAGTGCTGAATGATATTATCTTATTTTGATTTTTCACCTGACAAATTCAAAGTTAATTAAAATTTAATTGTTACCGACAGACAGTTTCTTTCTTTGTCATATTTTCATACGGTTAATTTTTTTCTATAGTGGTTATTTTGGTATACATTTTGAAATCATCTTATTTTATATATCTTTACGAAAGTCCAAGCAATAATCTAATACTTTGTTGTTATTGGCTCGTGTGTGATTCCCTAAGGACAATTTAAAAACTCATAGCTTCGTTCGCAGCTCGAGAACGAATTGATTTTTCCTTTATGTGAGAAGTTTTATTCCTTTCAAATAACTGTTATATCACTTTTATTACTTTCAATATTAAAAATAGCTAGGAGATATCACAGTCGATATAACAAAATACAAGTTGTAAATGTCAAGAAATCAATCAATACTTAAATAATGGATTGAAATCCAATTACCTCTAAAATTGCGCATTGTTCAATTCGATTTCGTAAAACGAGTAAATGATATCAAATATAATAAAGAATTCAAAATGTCCTAAAATGTTGGTTACAAAGTGATCGATGACGTCACAGCAACGTAATAAAGCAAGTCCACACAAACGGTCGGTTCCCTCTCGATACATAAACAAGCTTGTAGCAAACACGCGCCCTCTATCGTTAAGTGCACAATATTGCATCAATAGCTTTTGCCTATAGATTTGTATGCGTGTTTTTATTTTTATATACTAGTCTAATGTTATAAAGATTTGATTTTTTTTTCGATTTCTGTACGTATTGAAATAACTCAAAAACTACTGGGCCGATTAAAAATTCTTTCACCTATAAAAAGCTACGTTTTCAGTGAGTAAAATAGGCTATATTTTTAAATTTCTTCGCAGATATAGGTTAAGTTTTACCAATTACTAAAAATTGCACATATATCTGATAAATTTACTGGCTTATACTATGTGAGATTATTAGTAACTAGCTATTGCTCGCGACTTCGCCTGCGTGAATTATAAAAATATAGCCTATGTTATAAACTGATAACGTAGCTTTTTAATGGTGTAACAATTTTTGAAATCGGCCCAGTAGTTTTCGAGTTATTTCAATAAATAAAAAATATAAATCTTTTCTGTTTAATATTAGTATAGACATATTATAAATTTGTATTTTTATACAAATAATAAAAGCACTGTTTAGTGCTCGATAAATTTAAACGCGTAGCAAAATTTCAAATAAACTGAAGCATTTAAATTCCCCCTTTCATTAGATACTCAATTTGTCGGAATGGGAAAACATTGCCGCTTCCCGTTTTTTGCCCCTTTCACGCCATTACGTCAAAAGTTTTTTCTCCTCCGGCATTTCAAATGCGACAATCCAAATTAGTCTAATGCGGATTGCCTAATTTTCCTTTTCTTTTGCTAATTGCAAATGCAAAAATTTAAACTCATTACTCAGTAACAAAATCAGTACATCTTTAGTACACAAATAGTAGAACGACTGATTTAAAAAAGTGCAATAAAAATAATACGATAAATATTAAGTTACTACAACTTTGCATTTTAAAGTTGCATATGTAACTTTGTGAGTACTTTAACCGACTTAAAGGTTGAGTTCAAACCTAAGTGATTAACAGTAACCTGTCGAGTACTTCAGTGAATTGAGTTCTACGAATGATTAACGTGTATCCATAGAAAGGTTCGCTTTCGACTAATCAATGACAGGAGACATGAATAATACCCATCATTCCCTTAACTGGTTGCTACAGTTTCGAATAATTAATTCCCTGGGTGTGTACGCTTGCCTCTGAAGCATTTGGTTACTACGCATGCGTCGCGCGCATCGGTACGTGGCGGGTATTATAGGGCGCACATTTTTTTGATTAGAGCCGGATACGTGATTTAAAAATTAATTAAATAATATTCCTAAATATAAAATGATGGAAATAAATAACAGAAGTAATGATGTAATTTAATTTTTAAATCAACCAATTAAGCAATTATTTTTTAAGATAAAAGTATAATTTAAAATACGTAAAAGTAAAAAAAAATCACGAAGTACTTGTAAGAGACTATCTTGTAGTCAGAATAAGTGTTTGTCTCTGAAATAAGAAATTAAAAAATAATTAAAAAGGTCTGCTTGAAATTAATATAGCATGGACACCCTAAACACAGCCTCCAGCACCCGAGAAGGTTTCATATTGACCTATACGTATTACGAGTACTCTCTACGTTCTCTTTCAGGGTGTGCGAGTGAGAAACAAGATCGCACAATCTGAAATTCCCCTACGTAAGAAAGAGCCAACTATAGATATAGATGCACAGCTAGGTTTATAGTGTTCAGTGTGCCTGGAACTCCGGTGAAAGTCGGTGCTACGCGGTTTATCCCTTTTTATTTCGCACGCGAAACAAATGAGCATAGAAAATTGTTTGGAACATTTGATTTCGAAAATCGAACAGTGAAGTGGGATATTAAAATCCAGTGGCAGTTTATTGAAAAAAAAAGACTTAATTTATGTGAAAATAGTGTTGAAAGTGCTTGTGCGAGTCGCATATTTTTATACGACTCAGTTGTTCGAGTCCGGAGGGAGCCGTTTACAGAATGTGAGTAATTTTGGCGATTTAATGACCCTTTAGATAACGCATTGAAAGTTAACGCCTGGTTTACGCTGGCGCTAACATTCTTAATCAAAATTTATTACACGAATTAATATATTATTACACATAAACTTGTCAATACTTATGATTTATTTGGTCCCTTAACATTTATGACGCTTTTTTATTACCTTTTTTTCCTCAGGAAAGTTATGGAATTTTCGAATCAGAAACTATATCTACATAAATGTAAAATTTTTAGACGCCAGATTGGGCAATTTTCCATAGGTCAAATGAAATGGGTCAAATTCGATATTTTCTCGTTCGCCTGCAATGAGTTTTTTTTTAATAGTTTCTTGATACACATAATATTTTAATTATAATAATCTTATTTCCATAAGGTCATATTCATATTTAACAGGTTCTTGTATAAAATATAAATTTGAATGTATAAAAAAATCAGTAAAAACTCATTAGAGGCGGAATTAGAACTCAATGACTATAGTCTGAATCGGCTAATTAGTCCAGTGCTCAATTAGTAAGAACATGTATATAGGTGCGCATTAATGCAATTTGGTTTCATGTCTGATTAAACTTCTATAGTCTATGGCGGGGATGGCGAATATTAATGCATCAAAGTGCCATATTTTTAAAAGAAACGTTTAATGCGGTTAGATGTGCCAGCGAATAGTTTTGACTGCAATTATTACGTCAATACGTACATACTTTATAATTCTATCGTAGTGTTTTTATGATCATTAGATGCGTGACAGTGGTTCACCACTCCTGGTCTACGAGGTCTTACGAGATAACCCACAACAAAATTCAGAACTTTCCTTCTGAGGTCGGTTAAAATAGAATTGAATATTAATAATATCGCTTAGTTATATCTATACTAATATAATAAAGCGTAAACTCACACTACTTCGTGGCGTAAGATGTCAGCAATCGCAGCATATTTTTGAATAAGTATTTCTTTGAATAAAAAGCCCTAAACTTACGACATGCTTTAGGCTATATCTTTTTACGCTATTAAACTAAGGGGGATAAATAAAATGGAAAAAAGGCATCATGTGTGAAAGGGATCATAACCTACAAGCTGCCAATATTAAGGAAGCAAGGTTATTATGGTAACGGTAATTGTACATTTGTAATTGAGATTTTAACAAATGTAAACAATAAAATAAAGTTTTTATGTAGAGAAAACCGCACGGGCATAGCTAGTGTTATTTTAACGACGATATTATTCGATACTAAGCGTAAGGTAAGCCATGCATGCATGGATGTATTGACATGGAAGAAGATAGGAATGTATGTCAGTGTAGAAACTGGAAATATACTTCTATGCACAGTTTACCTGACTGATTTAGAAGGGCAATGCTTTTATGTGTAGATTTGTGTGTAAGTTGGTTTATGATTTTCTGTAGTTTGAACGACCGAAATTATTTCAACTAGTGAGGAGTTGGCCGCATTCTTAGTATTGGTTGGGTGAAGAAAAGCATACGGTTGTAAAGTTGGAGGCAATTACGAACATTAAAACCTTTTTCCATGTTTGTGGATGATAAGCTATAAAAATGTTCTTTTTAAATTAATTTGTCAGCATTTTTTTATATTTACAAGCAATTAAAAATTCATTTAGCTATATTAGACGTTTAGTCGATGGCCGATTTTTTTGTCACTTTCAAGAGTAGGCGTAAGTTTATTTGTGCCAACAACCTACGGAAATTATGCTAATCAATTATGTGTTGTGTTGTTCTTAAGTCCTCACTCGATGTGGTCTTCCTACGCATTTACTATTGTCGTTAATTTTAGTATTTTCAAACAAGCGATATAATTAGATATTCTATTGTTTTATTCGATATCATGTTACGAATAACAACGTTACTTAAGTTTGCTGTACTTAAAGTTACTTAATGATTGTTAGTTAAGATTTACTTTAGCGAAGATTGCTCAACTATACATTTCTGTCAGTCGTGCAATTAGCAATAATAGAGAAAGATTTATGAAGTAATAATAGAGATCTGATGGATCCTAGTGTCGCGTTTTGCGGTGTTTAAAATTGCCTCAGCTTCGACGGGCTCCCCATTGTCCCATACTTCTGTTAGCGAAGGGTTAACAAAGGGCCGATCCGACCCAATTAGACGTTGCTCTTGTTACGAGGAGCGGCGATGGGTAAAATTACGGATATATCTTCCTTGTTAGTGCGTATCACGTATCGAGTGGTAATCACATTTTTGCGGCATCGATTTGGTTTCCACTTCACTGACGGCCGTTGTTAAAACTGACGTGTGACGTTAATAGACCGCAAATAGGAATGAACGTTGAATTAACGAAGCTTGAAATTATTTCACATTTTATTTTATGAATATAAATTTTATTATACTATTTAATGAGGCGAATAACTATAGCAATTCTAACATCAACGTGGATAACAGATATGACAGAGTGAGTACGGTATTTTAGACACTAATTTTAACAAAGCATGTTTATGTTTTTCACAAATTAATAAAACTATTAAATATAATTTCGGTATAGTAGAGGACATGCTTGAGGAAAAAGTTAATTCAGATACCACGTAAGCAGAAATACAGGTTGATAATGATAGTCGTATCTACTCAGCACAAGTAAAAAGCCCCATATTGTCGTTAATTAGAGAGTTGTACAGACTAAATTACGTTTCAAAGTTTATGTGGAGATTTATATTGAATTGGAAAAAGCAAATGCCCACAATATGAAAGACTAGTCTGCAATGGTATGGATCGAAGCATTTTTATTGTCACCATCAACACACGGTAAGGGCCTTTGGCATATTGCCAAGTCGTGTACAGCGGTTTTGTTATCTCTATAACCCGAACGTAATGGCACGTGCGACGTATATTGAATGCATACATGCCGAGTTTACTTATATTTTTACTGGTACCTAAACAGTAAAAACCTTTCACGGTTGAAGAAGGTAGACTAAACTTAAGTGTGTAAAATTTCGATGAAACAATATCCATTTCGTTATTCCATACATGGGATTAAATTACTCTCCTCTCTGTACATTTTTCTTAATTATCCCTGTTCTTATCTCATTTACGTAATGTCGGCGTATCAGGATTTCATTCTTCATATTGATCTGTCCTTCATCAATTTCTTCCTAAGTCTACCTTTAACCTCTTTCTGTGCATGAGCACAATTATGAAATTGATGTTCTTTTTTACTTAATCATTTCTTTAAAAAAAGAAGTCACGGGCGACAGCTAATAATACTAACACAAATCATAATTATAACCATCGTTAAAATAACGTCGTTGAATAACCTATCAATACTTAAGAAGTAACATTTATGAAGACAGAAATAAACTTTGGAGACTTCAAAAATAGCAACGTACAAGATTGATATAATTTTGTCGAAGTGTGTTCAGATAATTCGATAATATCTCGGAATCATGTGTAATGGATTTTACGGGTCACGTGACAATACGCTTTCGTGAGTCACGATTTTTAATACTCCCTACCTTTGCGCAGCTAACGGGCAAGCTCGGGAATTGTTTGAAAACTATTTTATGTACACGAAACTGTATTAAAGTTATAACAACGATGGTTGCTTTTATTTTTTGTATCTTACCGTAAAAGTTGATTATTTTTATGTTTAGATTATACAATAACTTGTGTATTAGCTAGCTATAGCTTAAAAGTACAGTCGGGGAAATTGTCGGTATCTACAATAAAAGCTGTAGTCGATTGAACGTTTTATACGCATTGTGACGATGCGAAACAGAAACTTCATTCAAAAAAACAGTCGGTTGTTTTACCCAGCTAATTGCTTTTTTTATTACCCCGTCGTTTGCGCAACTCATTGCTAGCTAATTGGTTATTAGTAAGAAGAGACGAAGTTCGTCTCGTTATAAGGAACAAAGCGTTCTAAGAGTGGAATACCAAGAATGGCGTTGACTGTACAAAACTGTTTTTATTAGATTGATTTATGAAAACAGTTCTTTAAATAAACTTTAATTATATATACAGGTAGAATAGGACTCAAGATAAGACATAATATAAAAAAAAAAAACATTTTCATATTTTTAACACATCGTTTCGTTAGTTACAAAGAAGAATTTAAAAAAAAAATTAACGCTGTAGTAATGATTTAAAACAGATTGTCCTTGATTCTAGTCTGATGTATACCGACGCGATGTTACGCGGTGTAATGTAACAATGGATACGGCAATCATTTACGCAGTTTATAGTGTTACGAGGAAAACCAGGGACCAACAAGACGCTCTAAGCAATTGATAAACCTAACATTACGTGTAAAATTGTAACGTAAATGCTCACCACGAATATCTCTCCCCACATTTATTTGTATTTATACATTCTATTATTGAAAATAATGTTAAGAACGAACATTCGTTTTCTCCAATTATTTCAAATTGTCCGGATTTCTTATGATAAAAAGGACAAAGGAATAAGACGAATGTAATCTAAAGTTATTGGCTTCTCTCCAAGGCAGATATCAAATTCTCATCCCTTCATTACAATAAATAAAATCTCTCGGCAGACGATAACTTACCAGACATTTTTTTTCTTCTAAACGCTTGTTCTCTTTAACGAGATAATTTGTATGAATTTGAATTCTACTCTGATAAGTATTTTTTTCGATTGCAATATTAATAATGAAAAGAGCATAGATATGGAATTTAATTTTTAACAAAGAGGTATCTTGCAATAGATGGTGTGGTAACGAACTATAGTTTCTGTATGTTATGTTATGTAAATGTATGTTATATTTAGCTACTAGTTGTTTCCCAAGACTTCGTCATGTAATTTAAAAAATACAGTTAAAAACATAACCAATGTTACTCAGCTATACCGTAGCTTTCTAATGGTGAAAGAATTTGAAATCGAGCCGGTAGTTTTTAAGTTCTTTCAATACATACAAAAAATGCAAATCTTTTCTCATTTTTTTAGTATAGGTTAAGATTTGTAATTATATAGGCTTTTACCTAAAATTACATATATTTTGATTAA